TGTTGGAAACGTGTATCCAAGAGATATACAAAAACAGTTCTAACTAGTCCCGCGAATCCCCGGTGAGCTAATATATCACATACCTATCATAATATATCACATACCAATATGTGTATGTACCCACCCTATTAGATTGCGTTTAATGGGTGAACTTATACTCGTAAATGGCTGGATTCACGCTATCTATTAAATAGATCGGGTATCACACGGCTGTGACGTCACAACCTGCTCCCAAACACCGTCAGTCACTTTCACTGCATACCTGCCGACGTCGCCACACCTGTCGACCCATTGTGGCACCGTCGACATCTCTTTTGTCCTTTTTATATAACCGTTTCCCCAAACAGGTTTCCGAATTAACGCTAGTTATAACACATTGACGTATTCAAACTTTTGCGTTCTTCGCGTATATGTGTATATGTTTATTTTTAATTTGAAAATTTCTCTTTTATTTCCACGATGAGCATATCCTTACTAATATTATAAAGGTGAAAGTTTGTATGTATGGATCTACGTTTGTTGCTCTTTCACGCAAATACTACTGAATGGATTTTAATGAAACTTTACAATAATATAGCTTATAAATCAGAATAGGACATAGACTATAATTTATATACATATTTTATGTATATCTGTCTTTCTGTCTGAATGTTACGCCATCAGTCTATTCTACGCAGACGTAGTCACGGGCAGCAGCTAGTATAAGATAATATCGCTAAGAAAGGCTGCAGTACTTTCACAAGATCCTTTGTAAAGAATTATAAAATTAAAAATAATATTTATTAAACTTCTTATTTGTCGTGGTGGAATAATTTTAATGGTTCTCCGGAAATCTTTGTAAGACTTTAGAAAGTTTTAGTATTAAGTTATCAGATGTATGTCTGAAAATGCATGAAAACACATAGGTGGCAAAACAAGAACATAAGCTTGCTGGGCAAAATATCATCAAAAATCAAATCTATTGTATTGTGGCTCCAATTAAACACTTTTTACTCTGTTTTTTTTTTTAGTATACATTGTTATAGCGGCAACAGAAATACATTATCTGTGGAAAATTTGAACTGTTTAACTATTACGGTTCATAAGATACAGCCTGGTGACAGGCAGACAGACAGACAGCGGAGTCTTAGTAATAGGGTTTTACCCCTTCAGTACGGCACCCTAAAAAGGACATACATGCCGGTTGTCTGGTTTTCAACTCGTTGATAAAGATCTCCAATTGATTAATAACAGAGTAAACTGGACGCGTCCAACTGCAAAATTTTGGTACATTTCATATTAACGGTACTGCGGTCCCACACGTACAGAGGTACAAGGTGGTACATCTCGCTGGCCCAGATTAGCTAGTGCCTCCAATGTTTCCAGATCACTGGCCATTTTTAAAATTTTCCGACATCAATTAATGTGATTGTTTTCTCTCCGTCCAACTCGACGATAGGGATGTCGATAAAAAAACGATATATCGACATTTTTGATTTCATATATCGATATTTTATATATAAAATATTCAATATCGAAATCGTAACAAAAACGATTTTTTTTTCACATTCGAATCGGCACACACGTGTTCTTAGGTGTCACTTGTAGGTAATACTTGAAATATCTTTTTTGGAAAACGCGACCTAAAGAGAAAATATCGATATCGAGGCCTATATTGATATTTTTATAAATATCGATATATATTTATTCACTTTCAACATCCCTCGTCGAGCGGCCGGTCGCTTTTGAAAGCAAATCAAGCCCGTTTACAACGATTTTCGTGTTTGGACAAAAACAAGAAACTCGTTTCACCTCGAAACACGACAATGAGTCGAGATTTCGATAAGCATATTCAGTGCTCGTATACAAACACTCAGTTGCATTTTTAATTTGTATTTTTTTTTCTTGTTTCAACGTAAATTGAAATCTGGCGTCGAAGAAAAATCGGTGATTACAGAAAAGTAGGTCTTTCAAAACAAGATAAGAGTTCCCTTTTTGAAAGACATGAAAACGTATCGAAACGGGGTTCGGTTAATAATAAAACTATTACCGTCAAGTGTTAAATATTGAACGGATGGATAAGTTTATTAATAATAATAATAATAATAATAATAACGTTTATTTGCATAAAACATGGTATAGAGATGTTACAAACAGGTATAGTACAACATGTCTTGCCGCGACAATACGAAGCATTATTTCTTATGAGGAATTTCGTTTCATATTTTATTAGCATACTGAAACAATGAGCTCCAAGTTAAATTATTCTCTAACTACTAAAAATAGCACAATATAGAGTTGACGTTTCAAAACGCACAATGTGGTCAAAATAAGATTATAATTGTTAAATGAATATTTAATGTACATAATCATGATCATCTAAATACAGTCATAATGCTGTCCAATATCAGTATGTTCTTTCTTTATGTACAAGAATATAGCTTCCGTAAGCTTGTGGTAGGGTCACGCACCTTCCGCTGTTGCATGTATGGGCAGCCTTGTCCGAGGAAGCACCGCGGCCATGCTGAAAACCGACGTATAGTGGAAGTATATCCTCAATGGTTACCTCACTCACCGGACGCGAAAATCACTTCCACTTCACACTGGTCTTCTGTGGAGCCGTGGTACTTTCCTGGACGAGCTATGCTCTACCACGGCGAAAACACATCAAATCGCATTTTCGATTTTATTGAAACTGTATTAAGAAAAACAACATTATCTTTAAACCAAAACCCCTTTTTGGTCTTGCATCATGCGTCACTTGTTAATATTAATAACATAATTTGGTTTACATTAAAGAGAAGGAAAAATCATTAAACTTATCGTCAAAGACCTAAGCATAACTAAAGAACGGTCAAAATATACACAGCATTTCCAAAAAAAAGTCGAACCTGGGGAAAAAGATAGGTACAGGGAAAATGTATTCTCCATATCAATGTTATTAAGTAAATAAGTAAGCGCAACGTTCCACTGCTGGGCAAAGGCGTCCTCTGTACAGCGGGTATTGGGTAATAGAGCATAGCGTCCACGCAACTCCACTGCGGATTGGCGACTTCACATATCTTCGAAATATATAATTTTTGTTATTGTTTCGAAAATATGCTATAAAACGATGTTTTCCTACCCCGCCGAGCACGTGTCAGCACGTAAAATTAACAATTTCATTGGTGTCGGAACAGGGGATCGAACTCAGGTTGCTCGAGTATATTGAATTAAAAGCAAGCGCCCGGACAATGAGCCATTAAGGCTCATCATCAATGTCGTTTGAATACTTGCCATAATTTTATAAACATTATATTATTTTCGTCGAAAAATGTATGATAACTCACGATATTTCAAAATAATATTATTTTCGTCGAAAAACTCACGATATTTCAAAATAAAATCGATCAAAGCTAACAGGAAACAGACAACATCCAAAAACACAGTTAGATTTTCAACACAAAGATGTTAGTACTAACATCGTTCCAATAACCTCAAGCACGTTACACTATCCTCGTCGCCAGGACGATATCGACGCGTAATGCGCGCCTTGCGCCCCAGCCGTAGAGAGCGTAGAAAGTCTGGGCAAAAGTGAAACCGTCTAGGGTCTCAATAGCAGCTCCACAATTAGCCGGCGACGGCGCGTTTACTTTCGTTTCGTCGGTCAACGTTCATCGAACTAGATTCGTTTGGCCCAGATTTAATCGCCTCGGGCGAGAGCCACTCTTCCATTTACCGTCAAAAGCCTCTTAAAATTAATTGATTATTGAATCGGTGATATAAAAGTTTAAAATCAATACAACAGCTTTAAGAGGTTTGAGAGAAAATGAGGTTTGTATAAATAGGATGTTTATTACTTTATTTGTGCAACTACCTCGACTCCTCTGGACCACCTGTTCGGTTAAATGAAAGTCCCTTTGGCATTAAGTCCACATTTGTACAAAGATTTCATTGTGCCTAAAGCTCAAAATAAATATATTTATTTATTTTATTAGATATTAGGTTATAAGATAACTTGGCGGCGCCATTGCTAAGCTATTGGCTTCGGCGTCAGGGGTCGTGGGTTCGATTCCACAGGACAAGTATTTGTCTGAGCCACAGATAATTGTTTCAGATCTGGTTTTAGTTTCCCAAGGAGGGTTGACGTCAGACAGGCTACAGTACTTAAGCAAAACCGCTTACAACATGATTCACAGGTGGGGTCGGCACAACAGCCGATTGGCACCTAGGTGGGACAAGGGCGAGTGATGATGATGATGGCAATTAGTAAATTAAACTAACTGGTGCTCACTTATTTAATAAAAATATACTACAAAGAAATTAGTAAGACTTTACAAGAATTATCTTGAAATAGGCAATACAATCAAAAGATGGCAGGAGTAGTTAATTATTTGTCCCTTGTCCTAACGGCCTGTAATTTACAAATTATCTTAATCTGACCTTCAGGCCAGATAAAGATAATTTGTCCACTAATAACGCAAGAAGACGTCTCTGCTGTCTTAAGTAATCATCTAATTTTAACTTGGCCCCAAAAAAGCCATTTTCGCATATCCCGTGAGCATTGTTTTTTTTCTCAAAAACACTACACTTACTGGAGGATAATACAGGATGTGTTGTGAGGACATTTTACAAACACAAATTTCAAGCAGACAAACACCCAGATACAAAACAATTATCTGTGGGTCAAACAAATAGTGGTTCCATGTATAAATCGAACCCACAACCTCCAGCACCGCAGCCTTTGGCAATTACGCCACGGAGGCATACCAAAAATATCAACACTCAAATTTGTAAACAACGACTTTTTTCAATCCAATATAAGGCTACTTTTGTGGACTTACGATCACTGGATATTTAAAGTCGTTGCCAAAAACTTAAGCGCTTTCGTGGTTCTTGATATTTATTGAGACCAATAGCACATAATCGGTAAAATTAAAACCTGGACAGTATAAATAACCACTCTAAATAATACAGCACCACTCGTCTCCAATGTTTTGGGTTCAGTGATGTCTAACGATTATTTTTTTAATCGCAAGTAGGCTACTTGGCGGTACTGCGATGCGTACGACTACTCGTCGGCCTGCGCGCGGCCGTACAGGGCTGACCGCGCGCGCCCCCTGCCCGCCGCCCCCTGCGACCTCTCCAAGCAGAGCTACTGCACCACGCCGGGCAGCGGGTACCCCTGGCACGCTATTCGGCGGTTTGTGCGAGAGAACCAGGTATTCAACTCAGAGCTGATGCCTGAATCGGGCGGTGCTTTTGTGTCAAACTTGTTCTTCCCTTCTCAGTACGTTCACGATTGATGTTTCACTGTTTATAAGCCAAATTAGAGACAAAATATGAAAGTAAACGACGTTAATATTAGGTACACCCTGAATCAGCCACAAAACGTAAACGATTTTCGGCTGAAATTGTGATAAATATATTTATTATACTATTTTATGTATACAAATACCTTACACTATTATGTACATTACACGATTTTATGTTCCAGGGCTTAATGAGGAGGATGTATGGCGAGGAACGTCATATATCAGTGTTGAAGGCTGAACTAGAAAATTTCATAGAGGTCGACGATGAGGAGACCAATAAAAAATCACCGGACTTCGCAGAGGATGTAATCAAAGCGAAATTGATGTACACAAAGAACAGCCACGGTCGTGCATTGAGGGACAAGCCTCATTTCAGACCGATACAGTCCGCTGAAAAACATAGGAAAAGTGATAACGACACCTTGAGAGTGAAGCCATTGGAGAACTACACAAACAACTCCAATATTAATAACACGGACAGCAGCAACGGAACTGAGATAACAAGTAACGAAACCATGGTAGACGATAAGGAAGTATCATACAAAACTAAACTGGAGAGCATAGCTAATATAGAGATTAATAATCTGGATCCTGACGTAATAACACTGGAGGCGGTTATAAAACAGACTATCGAAACCAACAGTATATACCCGACGTTTGCGGGGAGTTCGAAGAGCGAGCCTCTTAGAGACGAACCCGATTTTAAAAACGGGACTGATAAAAATATAACAACCACAACAGAATACATAACTAATGCAACGGAAACAACCTACATGTACGACGATACGACGACAGAGCCAATCAAAGAAGGATGGAAGCCAATGACCCCTGATACATCAACGCTGCCGTCCACCTTACTGTTCTCTGAGCACGATAAAATAAAGAACGACAAGAACACTGAAGAGAACAAGAATGATAAGAAAGAAGAGTTTCATCCGAAACCAACTCAGCAGGAGTCCATGAGGCCGTCAGTCATTAAGCTACGGGGAGCGTGAGTAGTTATCATGAAAATGCATTGCTAAATTTTAAATAAACAGAAGCGTAATTCCACATTACGCCGATCTCTTTGAAGGTTGTAGTTTTCCCTCAGTCGAGCATGTAACAAGTAACTGAAATAAAACGAATAATTCATTTCATACATAATTGTGGGTAAATAGCCTAAAGTTTAAATTCTTACTATAGACTTTTATTTTAGTTGCAATGCAAAAATAGTTGATGTAATGACTTAATAACAATTTATATATTATATAATTTAAAAAAAGTTTCTAAGCCTGTTCAAGATTTTTCCGTTCTACAAGATATTTATTCTAAATAATGTGTGAAATTGTTACTTTTCAGCAACGCTTGTGAATCAAAAGAGGAGATGGCAGCACCCTTCTGGGCTAACAGCACTCGCGGCGAGGTGCTGGCCCTACTCAACATGTACCCGTTCGAGCAGTACATACACCTGGAGACCTGCGTGCACGAAAGAAAGCAGATGTACTGTAGGGAGGGCTGCAGGTAAATACCTAAATCTCCTGATAAATAAACTTTTTTCTAAATGACGTACACAATTCACAGTTGCTGAAATCGGCAACCATTTTACTTACATATATCATGGAATAAATTATAAACATTTCATTATATTTTATATAATTATTTCATATTCATATATACTCATATTTCATTCTAATTGACTGTATTTAATATAATAACATACTTTTATTGTTTGGAATCTATCTGAAAATCCTTTCCACGTGTTTCAACTAAAAGTGACTGGAAGTAATGAGTAATGTTTTTAAACAGACACACGCAGACAGTGCTATTTTATTTTAGGGAAGTTTTTTACAGCCCTAAGGAATATATCACAACTACGATCCATTAGAAAGCTATCAACACAATAAAATTTTCTATTACAACGTGTTCTACTCTCATGTGTGAGATCTCTCTCTCTCTATTGTTTCTTTCTACACTGTGAGGTAAACAAACACAATATAACTTTTACAACAACAATACTTTGCTAGAGCCACACAGCCGCTTATACTTTTTCAAGGATGACGTTTTAATTTAACGACATCGCCGTACTGTCGAAGCCGATGTAATACTACGTTTCCCGGGACGATGGACCGTTACCCCTCGAGAAAATGCCTGAGTCCCGGGGTTTAAATTCCCCGACACCCGCAACCGGTCCGACTTCTAGGGCAAGCAAACTGGCGGTTCACCAGATGTTAAGTGATAATCGCAGCCCATTGACTTTTGAAACGCCCGTAAGGTTACAGATGCGTTGACACCTTTTAATAAATTGGGCCCCGATTATCGCACTCACCAAACGAAATAGGCATAATACTTACACTTCACTGCTGCCTTCTGTGAGATCGCGGAACTTCCCCGGACAGACCTTTCGAGTGCAACAGCGAAGGTAACTTTCGAAAAGGTTTGCAACGTGACGTAATTGTACACACAAGTGTCCACAACGTGTCCACATGTATTGTAGACATCCATGGCATATACTCAACTCAATATCGGCTGGAAGAGTTTTCAGCACATCCCTTAAAAAGAAATTCTCAATTTCAGGTGCGAGCAGCAGTACCGCCTCCACCGCCTCCTCGCCTACGACCCGCGGAACGAGTGTCGCGGCATCTTCGCCGACTGGTTCAAGTTCCCCGCCTGCTGCGTGTGCCGCTGCTATGACGTGCCGCTGGAGTTCCGCGCCAGGTCCCCTCGGATCCTGCACCCGCAGTACGGCGAGGACCTCAAGAGGGCTATCTACGAGGACCTCGCCCGCGACTGGTACTCGACGTCCGTCTTCGGCGATGACGACGACCTTTACTGATGTGAGTCTTCTTTAGGGTTCCGTACCCAAAGGATAAAATGGTCCTATTACTGAGACTTCGTTGTCTGTCTGTCTGTCTCCGATTCGCACTTGGCAGGTTTTTTATAATAACGGCGACAGGACAGACAGTTCACTTATGCAGGTTACCTATGGTCACCATGTGCTTTGAAGGTGCTTTGCTATTATTAAGAAGGCCATCAAACAGACTCTAAACTTGACTTTGATGAAAATAGAATATATACAAATGTTATTACATTAACACACATTACATTTTCATACTATTGATATTTTATGCGATTCGTGGATCTTCTGCGAAGGCGCGGTATTGAATTGAAACAATTGATCCCTCTGGCACTGACTTTAGGTTAATAATAAAATTAAGAAAGTTATATGTATCTCTCTTTCTGTATTTTAACCGTGATACGTTATTTTTCAGGTAATTCCTGCTGCTAGGTAGACATACCTTAAAATCCATTCACCAAACCCACCTGGATGCCTAAGCAAGATCATCGTAGTTTTTTGCGGACTTAGTTAAAAGTTTTGAAGTTGTTTTAATCGGAAGTTATTTTTACTAAAATGCCATAATACAAAGACATCAAAATATTTTTAATAAAAGATATTTATTCATTTCATTACTTACAATTATAAAAGCGTCGTAATGATGAAATACTCGTAATGTAATAGTTAGAAAGCTGTTATTTATTGATATAATAGTATTTATTGTTGTAGTACTTAATTTAAAAATGTATATACCTACAATATAATGTTATCTTTATACTGTTCATGACTAAACATTACTTTTAAGGCTAGTGAAATTGTAAAATATATTATATAGGTATATTGTTATATTGTGAGTTTACGCGATTTTATTAAAGTTTATTTGTTATTTTCCGTGTTTCATTAATATTAATGTCTTACATACTACCGTGTATCAAAATCATATATTCTAGAAAAAGTTCATATTATATTTAATATTCATACATATATATGTCTATATTAAATATAATACGAATTCCTGAGCTAAAAAGGAAAGCTCACCCTTGCATAATGTCATAAATTCTCCAGATATAAAATTATCTAGACGACGAAGATTCGGTCGGTTATCTACGCGGATGAACAACGCGCGACACGGACAATAAAGGTTTTAAGGGGTTTGATTCTCAAATAGGTGTAAGTTAACCGAGAGCGAACATAGCTTTCTTAATACGTTGGCTGACGCTGGCGTAGTTGACATTTTCCGGTGAGGTGATTTGCTCTGGCAACGAAAAATCCCTTACTTCCATCTCTCCTTGACGTCCACATCAGACCGTGGTAGATTAAGACGGGGACATGCAGCGAGTCTACGTCGTAAAGCACTGAGCTTTAACGGACAATCCCAGCCGAGAATTAAAAGTAAATTCAGTACATTTATCTTGCAGCGCGTATCCGTAGGGTATTGATTAGACTGGTTAGCTTGGAAGGACCAAATACTAACCCCACGAACCAGCGTCTGAATATAATATAGGTACGCCCCATTGTATGTCCTCGTGCACCAGTTTCGTATTGTTGTCTCCTGAGTTCGTGAGATCATGCTCGTTACATTTAACTCGCTAGATCGAATATACCAATATTATTATATACTATATTATATCCAATTAAAGTACCTCCAACAAGTAATATTTATGAGATCTCTTGTTTTTTAATATGACCTTATATACTTTCATAGCCTTATAATTTTTATTACTGACATGGACATATATTTAGACAGGACAGAGTAGTGCGTAATCCTAAAGAAACACTTCAATTCCGCGAGATGGACTTTATAAACATAGTGATTACATTCTCTTTGATAAACAGTGTCTATGATAGAAAGAACTGAAGTGAAGAAGTTAGGGAAAGCAAGGTAACGATTGCCTGATGCTCTAGGGATTCTATGGTGTACCATAGAGTCCATAAAGCATCAGGCAATCGTTAGGTACCGTTACAGAACTTAATTAATTGACATTGTCAATTTGTTGTCACATTGTCGCTGTTGTCAATCAGTTGGTGTCAACAACTACGACGCTTATTTTATATTTAATTTAGTTTAGTCAATTACTTCTTGATAATTGTAGTTAATACAGCCACAAAAAATAAAACCCATAATATTTTTAATGTCTTGTTAGCTAGATTAGTAAGTCTAAACAGAATGTCTGGAAGAGGCAAAAAAGCCGGCGCGCCAAAGAAGAAAGCAAATGGTTATAAAATGCCAGCCCCTATTCCTGTAGGTGAAGTGATTCATGATACTATAGCTAAGAAGAAATGGCGAATAGGGCCGTCTATCGGAGTTGGAGGTTTTGGTGAAATATATTCTGCTTGCGACCATGAGAGCTCTCCAAAAAAGAGTACTAGTTATCCGTTTGTGGTAAAAATTGTAAGTGTTGATATAATTTAATAGATGTAACATTTAGGTAAAAACATTTCTTTTCAAAAAGGAATAAAGCTACCAAAGATACAACATTGGCTTCATTCTATATATTTGAACTACACGAAGATAGTTACATGAAAACAATCAAATTTGCATAGCTAATATGAAATTAAGGTTGATTTTGTGCACATATTGTTTATGTTGATCATTAAATGAAGTATAAAATCAATTTAAAGACTATATTCTGGGCAAGTATAAAACAATATGTTCAGTTAAATGTTTTTTAATATGCCAAGTTGATAAGCAATCAGGTGGTTCACCTAATAGTAAGATTGCTGAGTTAAAAGATGTTTTGCTTAACAATAACATATTGGGATATGGACACCTCACACGAGATAATATGCAAAAGTATTATACTATAATCTTTACACTGAATAAAAGATAAACTTACTGCCCATTTGCATTAGCTACTGCATGGCTCTTCCATTATTATGTACATTACTGGACATGTATCATGTTTACAAAATTGTGATATTAAAATTTGGTACATTAAATCAGACCTGCCATTATGACTAAAACTTTAGTCATATGAATCAATAGCCTTGTCTCATTATTCTTTTTCAACTTAATATAATAATGAATAATTTTGACCAGGAACCACATGAAAATGGCCCACTCTTTGTTGAAAAACATTTTTACATAAGGAATGCCAATAAGGATGATAGTAAGTATCCCATTACAAGTAGTGCCTTACATCAATCAACAATTAATTCATTCTCATTGACAATAAGAAGGACATTCTCAAGTCTGTTATAATTTTTTATGTTTTTAACCTCAGAACTGCCAGTTATGAACCAATTTCAAACATTATTGCATTTGCATTGGGTTCAGTTTACCTCTTATGAAATCACATATTTATTTTATTTGAATTGGACCTTGGAATTTTGAAAACACATCAGGGAACCTCTTAAAATTAAATTGCACATGTATAAGTGCTGCGAGATATTTGAAGTCTGTCATGTTTTATGTTACTAAAATATTTTACTTGTTACTTTATGTGATGGTTTGTTGTTGTTTTGGTTTTGCAACAGTATTATCTACAAATTTTTAAGTTTCACCTTTAATGCAGACATTAGAATAAGAAATTTAAAATTCAATTTCTATTGCAAATGTGAGCAACATCTCTAGTTGTCAAATATTCATTTTTAAAATGTAATTTGAAGATTTATGATTGCTTTATAGGAATCACATTAGGTAACTTCAAGTATTGTTACAAATGCAATAAGAACAAAGTAGATCAGACATATTTCCATCACTTAGCTTAATCGCTAGAGCGTATGGACGTGTAATACGGAGGGTGCGGGTTCGAATCCATGCAGCTGAAATTTCAAACAAATTTTGAGTCAAATTTTACCTTTCATGAACTACAGAGTAAATTGTGAGTGATTTATTGGCACTTGTAAAGCTTATATGGTTTATCTAGATTAAGAATAATTCCTTAAATTTTTAAGGGTTTGTGTATAAATAATGTGTAGTCTGCCAATATAAATTGGTAAACAACCTTCTAAGCTTTTTAACACCATGATCATTAAGTTGTTAATAGCTAAGCTTAAACTTTAATGTCACTATACAATTTTTGTTATTACAAACCAGAAATTGACTTTAAATTCATTGTGATGTATATATTTTAGGGACTAAGTAATACTAATGACAATATGAAAAAATACACTTTTAGATATTCTTCAAGCAGTTCTACCAATCACTAATTACAACTAAATATTTTACAACTTAATGATTACAATAAAACATTAGCATAGATAATAGTTCAAACACAACAATGATTCTGAGCGAGCACCCGCAGGCTTTGCTATTTAATCTTATGTAACATTAAATAAACTTAATTTAACTTTTTAGTTGCCAAATTCATGCAAACCAAAAAGTTAACAACCTTCGGTATGCCATTATATTATGGAAATGGATCACATGACTTTAAAGGAGAAAAGTATAGATATTTAGTACTGGAAAGATATGGCAAGGATTTGTGGAGTTTGTTTAAGGATTCCGGCCGTTCATTTCCTACTACAACTGTTTTTCAGATAGGTTTGCAAATGGTAAGGAATTTTTCTCAAAAGCATTTTTTCTTTTCTTTTTTATTAGGAAGAAGGTCTCGGCTACTTTACTCACCAGACAAAACAGAAGTATAACACTTCCGCTTCATGCTGGTCTTCTGTGAGTCATAGTACTTTCTGAAATGGCCCATTGGTTGAATTTATGTTTTATTGGGTCTTATTTCATATAGCAATAATGACATCTCTCATTCTTCGAATTATCATTGTTAAACAATGTCAGAAACTTTTAGTTCGTTTTTCTTAAAATTGTTTCGTCTTCAGTGCAGAGCTCAGCGCTATAAAAAAAATTTAAATAGCTCATATTATAGTAAAAAACTTGGGAGTTAACAAATCCTATGAAAATAGATAGAAAACCAGGATTCTATTAATGCATAGTCTCTTTTTAGTTAGATGTCCTAGAATATATTCACAGCAAAGGTTATGTGCATGCTGATATAAAAGGTGCAAATATACTCATGGGGCTCAAGAAAGGCACAGAAAATCAGGCATACTTGGTAGACTTTGGTCTTGCTGCACGCGTCAATGACAAGGAGTTTAAGCCGGATCCAAAATGTGCTCATAACGGCACTATAGAATACACAAGCAGAGATGCTCACATGGGAGGTTTGTGTTTAATAATACTAGCTTATGACTACAGTGTACTTATGTGTATTATATATTGTTTATTGTGTACATTTATAGGATATGTCAGATTTTTCAAGTGTAATTTATAATTATTAGGACTATAAAATATCTTAAAATATGATATGTAGGAGCCATCCATATAATTAATAAATTTCCGAAATACAGCTGCCATAACACATATTCACACCTTGAACATATGAATAGTTGTTATTACTTTTTTATATATTACTTTTTTATATATTACTTGCTTATTTTTATTTATCTTTTTATTCATTTATGATTTTCCTATTAGAGGAAACTTAACTGGCATTCCTATAAGCTATTTATAATAATTATAAGTGTGATGTATACTGTAGGTTTCCCAAATAATTAAATAAATAAATTATATTTGTGATAATCACAAGACTAGAATGAATGTCTTGTATATCTCATGCAATAAACTCTCATGATTTATCTAATTATGTGAATGTGATGTTGTTCTTTTTATGTTACAGTTGCCACAATGCGCGGGGATCTAGAAATCCTTGGGTACAACATGCTTCAGTGGTTGGTGGGCGAGCTTCCATGGGAGAAGTCCCTCAAGCAACCGAACACGGTGCAGAGTATGAAGGAAGCATTTATGAAAAATGTGCGCAGCGAAATTACCAAAAAGTTCACAAATGTACCTGGTATGTAGATTACGTAGTTAGAAAATTTAGACTGTTTGGTGCTGTTCCGATTTTAAATAAATAAATGGCGGTATAAATGTTAAAGGTTATTTTTTTACCAAAATAGTTTTACACGGTAAAATCTTATCCATGAAATAAAAACTAAAAATGTATATAAATTTATATTTATTGAACAAAAGTCAATAAAAACACATGTCCTTTTTAACATTACAAGTAAAACTTTATATTTGCCTGCTTTTATTATAGCACAGGTTATTTTCAGATGCATTAATCAAATTTTTTGAGTACATCAACTCCCTGAAACCTAAAGATCCAGTGGATTACGTCAAATGTAGACAGCTATTTGAAAGTTACTTGAAAAGCGAAGGCAAGACAAAATCGAGTAAATTGGAGTTCAAAAATTCTGTAAAGAAAACAAGAGCAAACAATGAAACGATTGAAGATGAAATTGACGGGAAAGATGTTGAGAGAGTAGAAAAGAAGAGAACAAAGCCAAAGACCACCGCGCGTGGCCGCCCAAAGAAAGTAATGAAATCTGACGAAGTAGAGACTGAGAATTGTGAGAATAAAGAACCCGAGGAGGAAGAAAGAACTAAAAAGACCATCAGGAAGACGACTAAAAGGAAATCTTTAGAACCCTCGCTAGTCGTCAGAGTAAAGAAGACTAAGCTGACACCGAAAATGACTCCACCCGCGAAAACAAACCACGTAAATATTGCAACACAAACATCAGCAGGCAGAACCAAGCGCAGTCCTAGGCAGGTGTCTTTCGACAGCCCTATCAGCGAGATTATAGGAAGCAAAAAGCCTTTTAGGACCGTGAAAGACAACGAATCGGCCAATTCTAGCGGGGACATTTTCGATGACTCATTTGTTATTGAGGAAAAGAAAGTGAAGCCGAAGAAAAGACTGCTTTCCGATGAGGAGGTAACGGTGAAGAGGGTAGTAAAAAAGAAGGTTATCGTTAAGAAAGCCAAGTCGTGGAAAGACTCGCCTGCCATTGTGAATGGTAGGTCACCACCGAAATAATCAAAAGAGAAAATTTTTGAACTGAGTTTTGTATTTTCCTAGAAAATAAACACCGAAAGAGGGACACGTTAATGTACTTTTATGACGATTGAAAATGGATTTGATTGTTACTATATTAGAATTGTTTGTTAGTTAACTCACTTTTACGGCTTTATTTATTACGTCCAAGTGCTGGACCATGTTATATTAGAAAGATGTTCTGCTCAAAACTAACTTGTTAAGTTTTATGAAAAGAGTGCATTTTTGTCTATAACAAAACAGAGGCGAAATCAAAATTTCAATATTCATGTATTCCGTGACAAGTTTATAAATCTGAAATTTCTTGTTACTGTTGTTTCCAACTTGTTTATTTTACTAATTTTACATTGGAATTGGATTGAATCCCTGAATTTGGGGAAACCCTGTATAGCTAAAAATGCATATAAATATGTGATTGAGACATATTTAAAGTCCACAAATTGTCAATTCGCAATGGGGCCAAAATTATTGATGGTCTGGAGGAAAGGGTGGAGTTTGTGCCAAGTTGTTGATGGACATGTGTGTGTAATTTAATTACTTACAATATAAATCCAAGCAGTTAGTTCATTTCATAGTGTTATATGTATATATATTTAATTTGATTCTTGAAGACTGTTAATCAATATATATATATAAGATTGTTAACTTAATGAATTTTTGATTACATGCAATATAAATTAGTTTTTTTTACTCATTGTTGTATGTAAAAAGTACATTAACTGTCCCGCGAGCATCATGCCCTAATTTCATTAATTAACCCACCTTAAACATAAAATTGCTGAACCAGATTTATGTTTCTGTGTTCCAACAAAAATTTTCATTTGTTAATTTAACTACAATGTATCAATCAATGTTTTAATCGAACATTTGTTTAAAGGCGCCATTTATAGCCGTATCTGTAACCACTAAAGTATCCTAGAGACTAAAGCCATATATTATACCAATTGTAGTACAGAAGTTAATAATTTTTTTAATTTTTAATCTTAATAAAAATATTCGGTATTAAATTTTAATATGAAGCTTTACCTCTTCGTATAAGAATCATATGTAACCATAAAGTAATATGGTTAGTATAGAATGTTTGCCCAACACGGAGAATTTCATTGTTACTAAAATAAGTTCATTTTAAACTTTTACGTAAATTATTTAGAATTTATCGCGTATTATTTTGATTTTTTTCACTCCTTAGATTTCGAAGGCGGGAAGGACTACCGGTTTAAAATTAATTGTACTTATATAGAAATTCTTGTTAAGTAATATATATTTTTTTATTTTCCGTATATACCGACCACTATATATGTAAACAAAACACAAATATGCATATAGTATATATAAATCTTTTTTTAATCACCCGCAATATACCAGTAAATGTTGGTAAATTTTTATATCGCCGAAAAAAACAGGCTTTAGGGCGCACATGCATTATTCCTTAAATTTCATTAGAAGTAATTAATGAAATAATGTCAATATTAATTATTATTAGTTCGTGCCATTTTTCATTTCTGTATGACTTCATTGTTGAATTAAGAGATAGGTTAGATTGAATGAAGGATTTTGAGTGTCGATTTTTTAGAGGAATCTGTTATGTGCTAAGTTGTATGTGGGCGGGCGTCAAATGAAACATATTTCTACAATGGACGCGTGTAAAATTGGTTTTGTCGTGTTCTGTGACGTTGAGTTTTTGTACGTTATTGTGTAAAAGAAACAGTGTCTCCGATGTGTGGTTTTATTTCCGTTTTACAATTAGTTTTTAGAGAATATCTTATAATAATAACAATTTTATGTAACCGATTACATCAACATTGGTTAAAATGTAGAGATGGCAATAGATGACAATAGATGACTTGAAACTTTATTTGTAACGCTTATTTCCGCTACAGTTTACAATCTGTTTTTATATATTAACATTTTAATGAATCTTTAGTCTATAACTTCCTAGAAATCCTATAATTTTTTTTTATGTGGAAGTTGTGGGGTAGTTCCAACGACCACTACTGCGATCTAGAAAGATCTATAGTAGTCTTCCCTTCGAAAACGTTGCGTCTTACTAATTAGGATGTTTTCCACACGTAAATTTCACGTAAACACCCAGATCCGAAAGAATGGATCCGATGGGGATCGAATTCACGACCCCCGGTGCCGAAGTCAATACCTTGGCTACTGCACCACCAACTCATCTAAAAATCCAATGCATAATATAAATATAATATAAATATTTAGGACACATTTTTACACAACGTTCTCTAGTCCCAAACTAAGCAAAGCTTGTACTATGGGTACTAGGTAACTGATAAACATACTTAAACATACTTTTCTTTTGTAAATAAATACATATTATAGATATATAAACACCCAGACACTGGAAAAACACTATGTTCATCACACAATATTTTTCCAGTAGTGGGGATCGAACCCACACCCTCTGACGCAGAAGGCAGGTACACTACCCACTACGCCATTCGGGTCGTCAAAATTGCAATTTTGACGACCCGAATGGCGTAGTGGGTAGTGTACCTGCCTTCTGCGTCACTTTGCAATGCATATTTTGACTTATTGACACTAGTGATGACTATGCTTTGGGTTCACTTAATTTGCTCATGAGTGGTTATTAAGTTCGTGTATTGATCTTTTTTGTCTGTCATTTTTTACAGGTCAAATAATTTTATATTACTTTCTAAATTAAGACACGAAATACAAAATTACTAAGATATTCACTTATACCATGTATTTAATTATGATATACATTATGGACAAAGTTTGATACTGCCAGTATAAAATTTATAAACATAAATATTTGCTTTTTTACATAACCTTAATGAAAACTGAACTGGAGTTATGGGTACCAATGTATAACGGTCATTATAATAAACATAAAGGTTTTACTTTACAAAGCAAGGTTTTTGTATAAGAACCAATATTGATGTCATTAATTTGCTTTCGCATAAAAATTGTTAATTCGATCAAGGATATATATGTATAGTTCTGTATATGCCATAGAAAATAGGACCTAAAATTTATTCATTTGTAAAGGCAACATTAGATGACTTGTACCTAACACGAATCCAACCAAAGATTAGACGTCAAGTTCTTCCGCCTACTCCACATCTGAAACGGAACAATGAAACAAACATTCAAATCCAAAGCTTTTATTTTTCTTTTTTATTTACAATATAATCGTAATATGAAAGTAAACAAAATGTAACGTACCAAAAAAATTACATTTAGAAATTCAATTGGCGGGGCAGGCCGGCGGCTCGCCCCGCGGTTACAAAAGCTAAAGTACGCCTAACTTGTGAGTGATGCTCGCTAGTTGCTAACCACCAGGTCCGCTTGTGATATGCGCGCGTTCACAACGCGCCCCAGCCCGCCCCCTCACCTATCCACCTATACAATGGCAGTACGAGAGCGGTCAAGCTATCATTGACTAAAACACAAAACAGTAGCACCATTTGTAAAAAAATATAACTCTTTCTCAAACACAACAGAACGGCCCGGCACCGCCGAGGGGCCCACTGCCCCTATTGCCGGGCGGCGAGGGGCGCAATGGGCGCACACTAGCGCCCTCAAAGCCCCCACGGCGTAGCGTGTCCGACCGCAGGCACACGCCGCACCGACCAATCTTACGTAACACGTGAACTGCTCTAGACATTACATAGTAAACCTTATCGTTAACGTTATCTTAAAAAAAAAACCGCTATTTACGCCGTTTCAGGAACATTTTTTTTCGCTTTATACGCACAAAAAAAACTATTTAACTTGCAATAATTGCAACGGGACTAGTATAGATATCGAAACTTGCATTTTGTCATGACGCCTTTCGCGCGGAGTCGGTAAGTTTAACATAATATAGGCGCGCGCGTGGGTTTGCGTGTGCGCGTGTTGAATAAGGCCGCGTGCGTACTAGCGCACCTGCGTTCGATTGGAGCTAATGCGTACGCAGCAAGAGGATCCCTCTTGAAATAATTGCCTTTATGATTGTGACCTAATTGTACGTGTCGTTTTTTGGTTTGTGCTTTTGTAACAAAATAAAAAACCGACCCCGGGGCGTATTCCAAGAGGGGGCCCGTTCTCCCGTACGACCAAATACGCAATACACTATCGTCATCAGCACACGTCTACCCCTAACAATATCAATGCAACACTTCTTACAGCCTAATTGGAATAAAAGTAAGTGTATAAACTACGTTATAACGTGACATAAAACTAAACGGTCGTCACTAGATTATTGCGAGGTGGCACTAACAGCAAAATTGACTACGCTAGTCGGGCTAGAACGCGAGACGAGCCGACGCCCTCATTTGTAGCGGGCATCAGATAATAAACTAATTGATAAACAACAACTGATTCTAGAATCAATCATCGAACATTTGGGCTAACAGGAATTAAGCATTCGCTTAAAGTAATCGCATCTAGTGTAAGGTTAATATAATATCTTTAAGGCAAAATTATCTTTTACTGTAGCATAAAGTTCAAATATTTCGCTAAAACACGGCTATAATTTAATATAAGTTGGGAAGACCCTTGCAACATAATTATCTTTATCTATGAAGACAGCTAGTTTAATAAATTTATTACATGTTACTTTTTCCTCCTCTACGCTAAAATCACTGGGTATCACTGGATTGTTTTCAATGTTGCATTATTAAAAATGTAAAAAAAAAATATAAATATAATAAGGCTCAAAGTTGGTGTTAACTCCCCTCGCGAACTATTCGGAATTTTGTCCCGGGAGACGATGATTTGAACATATAGACACAGCTATGATTTACGGACCTTTCTTGTGGCAGCGGCGTATTTTCTAATTCCACGGTATATGTTTATTCGATACCTAGTGGCCGTACAGTCCGTCGTTAGGAGCGGAGGTCCAAGCACGACTGGCTGTACACTCAACGAATCGAAAGCCAGCCGAACCAGTAGAAACGACACGAGTCAAGAAGGTTGACACTTAAGTTACTCATATATTTAAGTTAAGATATAAGAAACGCGAGTGCAAATGAAAACTCTGTTCTTCGCTAAGTAAAGCCAAAGAAATTACGACTTTTTTCAAAGATAGTCGATATCACTAGAGATTCCGCCTGGATGGAAAGCAAGTTATATTAATAAATTACTTGAAAACGCAAGTGCATTTCATGTCTACATCCGGAGAAAATACGCCAAAGCCGAACGTTCACCTCCACCGATAGTAATGTCCATGCATGGGACATAAACACCAATTGTACTCCCGAGTTCGTCCGAACCAGTTCGGGACGCGTTTTGACCGCAAAACTGTCTCATAGTTCCGATTAACGAGTAAACCGTACCTCGGCCCTCACTAATATACGATTACTAACCAAGTTCCGTAGACGAATGAAACGATTTCGATGTCCAATTGTCCATATATCGGCGTACCGTTTTTAAAGCTTACGAATTACTATCGAAACGCGGCACGGCCGGCGAGGGAGGTCGCTCGTATCGCAAGCCAAGTGGTTCTCTCACGTCGCGTGTTTTCATCTATAAATAACGATTTCCGCCCTCGTGTTTAATATAAAAATTTGGTGTTAACTCAGTCAGGCATCGTCTGTACAGGTCCCATCACTTAATTGTACCTCTTAGAACGCGGCGTGGCGCGCATGCTGCTATTTCGTACTAACATTTCTATTATGAAAAACATAAAAACAAAACTATTATCTCATTACGAGGTTGAACACACGAGACTAGTCGAATCGCTTAATGTGGGAATGTGACATCCGTTACGTTCGTGCGCGCACCCCTCCGCGCGGTTAATTGGCTTCTGTATCCACCAAGATTTGACCGTCTGCACCGAACTGAGGCAGAAACTAATAACTAGTGAGAACGATCGCCAGGAGGGGCTCAAGTTGGCAACCAGAGGCCCTGATTCTTAGCCAATTAATGCCCGGTTCCTATATTCAAAGAACGACCGTTAGTTACATAGCTTCGTTACTTTCATAACGACTGGTAGATTAAAGGAAGGCTAGTAACTCACTTTCCGTAGGTAATGCAACGGCTCGAAAGGAAAACGCCTCGTTTTGTTATCTACAAGTCGTCATGAAAGTTACGAAGCTATGTAACTAACGGCCGTTCGTTGAATATAGGAACCGGGCATTGGTAGTCTATTCTATTTAGTCGCAGTGGTCGTTTTTGACTTACTACCCACAAACCATAATCACAATCGAGAACAATCTCTATCACAAATGGTGTAACCAGCAAAGTGATCGGTGATAATGCTGCAGCATCGTCACATGTCTCCAAGGATGCGTTTTCCCGCCAAAACGCGAGGCGAATGGCGCGAAACGAGTGCTCGTTCGCGTATCGGTCCGTCGAAGGGGTGCGCGTGCGAAACCTCACCCGGGCTGCCCCGTCCTCGGCACTAGCGAGAGGCACAGCGTCACGATAATTGCACTTATGTAGGACGACGCGGGTGATTAGGAAAGGCAATATTAACGCGCGGCGGTGACTGACCTCCCGTTCAGTACGGTCAAAATGGCGCGAACAATGGGAAACGCACGTGTATGTTCTCAAAGTAGAGTATCAGCCTATACATGTCCCACAGCTGGGCAAAGGCCTCCTCTGGACAGAGGGTATCAGGGCGTAGTCCGCCACGCGGCCCCACTGCGGATTGGCGGACTTCACATATCTTCGAAATACTTTTTTTTTGTTATTGTCTCGAAAATATGCAGGTTTCCTCACGATGTTTTCCTTCACCGCTGAGCACGTGATAATTCAGTGACACTACTTAAGCATTGTGTACATTAACAAGGTCAATATTCGGCTGACTTGACTTATCGATTGAATAAATAATACGCCATGCTTAGACCAGGCAGCATTACTGTTGCTTGGGACTTTTCAAAGTTGAACCAATCAGCAACTAAAAGTGCAATCGAGTGGAGGTGTGCAACGTCTGAATATGAGAGTTTCGTACTTCTATATCCGGTATTAGAGTTTGCCGGGTGGGTCGTGTAATTAAATTAATGCGATCGTAACGCTCGCTTAGTCCCTAATTACGGACTAAGGACAATTAATGTTGACATTTTGGCGAGAAAATAGTGCGCCAATTTAAACTGCAGCATGAAACTTTTTAAGCCTGTCCACACTGTGAATGTATCCATTCAGACTAGAGGGCGCTGTGAACTCGTTAATGGATACAATGTACCCCCCCGCGGCTGTTGTAGGGGTTAGGAACACACGAAAGGCGAATTGGTCCATTTTTATTTAACAAATAGTGCGTGTTTACTGTTTGAATATATCTTTTCAGATAGGGACGGTAAAGTTATAAAGCTCTTGATCGGTAAGACATTGGCAGTGCTGTTAGCATTACATTGGGCCCCTAAACGTGAAGACAACGGATGGTTTTCTGTATGAAACTTACACTAACAATTATCATTTCTCTTTATTTTCTAATCAGAAAATTGGGACTAGTCAGTTGTGTAGGAGAGCGCTTTCGAGCGCGAACTATCACTTAATACGAGTTCAGTCACCGCCGCGATATATCGTTTCGTGATAACTATCCGTTTCTCTTATAACGATTGAATCAGTATAACTTCGTAAAATTACGTCTCTATATAACTAAGTTGCGTCAGAATACGTACATGATTATGTATACAGCGTGTCTTTACAATCGCGACAATAAATGAACACACGTCTAACGCTACTTGCCAATAATCATAAAAAAATATTAACGTTAAAAAATCCATAATTAAAAAAACATATTTTTCAATCAAACTAATTAAGTAAAAAAAGAAACAAAATTTGTAACATCGTATACAACTACAACTGACTGATTTATACATTCCGAGACTTTTTCATTCGTTGCCACAGTGTCGCATTACTAGCCTCTCCTTCTAACAGTATGTTTTGTCTCTTTTAAATTCATTCGACCCATTCATATGCTTTGTAATTGTGACCTTTACAAATGAACTTAAGTTACAGTTTTATACGTAAGGGTGTTCTAAAATTCTTTGTTTTGGCAAATTTAATAACTCTATAAATATTGATGTTTAAAGAAAGTAAATGTTTAATACAATTTTAAAAAGTTATCCTCTATATGTGTGTTCATTTATTGTCGCGATTGTAACGACATGCTGTATAACAACTTAAGCTATTTGCGCGCCATGGTGCCTCCGATAGATAACATACCGTATGTCCAAGTGGTAACGTTTAATTTGCGACATCCTATCGTATCGGGACTACGCATCGACGTCGCGAAACACGTTTACAATTAAATATAATGCATGCGATAATGATCTGTATTATAAATGTACAAAAGTCCTATTACGCGTGACAATTATAAACTACGGTTAACAAATAAAACATTTATATCCGTGTCTGCTTAAAAAACTGTACATTTTTTTTGTAATTTAGTTTTGTTACATTCGCTTTAACAACAGTGACAGAGAAAAAAAAACCTTTCTATTTATTTTGAACACATAATTCCTGTAAATAATTAGAGACCGAGCTTGCTCCTTACTGTATCAACCTTAATTAAATAAATGAATGACAGTAAATCAACCCCCAATTTTTATTTTAAAATAATCAATGCATCGTACATAGTTCCCTTTTGAATAGAATTATTTTAATAAATTTAATCGGAAATCAAATAATAAAAGATAATAAAAGTATTTTAATTCCATTCGCTGAATGCGCGTAATTAAAACAATCAATTTAAGATAACACAAAAAGGAACAAACTGTACAGTGGAGGTACAGTGACAAAATGCAATTTCATTTGAAAACATTATGGTATAATTACATTTTATCTTTTCTTTTCTGTACTATAAATGTAACTTAACAAATAATAATAGATTAAACTTGTAAAACAAAATAATTTACATAAATAACTTTACGATAACAGAACCATCCAATAATTAACTGAAAATCTAAATCGAATGTTAAGTAATAAACCTTATTATTGCATAGCAATAAAGACCAAGCTCGGATTTATAAATATTTCTTCATGCTTGTCTGCAAACTTTTCAACAGTGTTAATACAAAATTTGCGCAAAAAAAAAAAAAAAGATTTCTCGTATAAATCCTCTTTCAAATGAATACGCAATCAACTGTTCCATTCGTGATTCAATAAATATTTTTATTTATCCATCTTACAACAAAAGAGAAACTTGAAGATTTCGTGTAAAGGTATAACCATAGACTTTTCAAAACAAAATAGAACTTCAACAAATAAAATATACAGGGTGTAAACGTTTTTTTACGGCAGACGGCGCGAAAACAGCGAGCTGCGACCACCGAAGGGAACAGTTAGGTTTTAGCCAAATGTAAAACGGTAACAGTGTAGAAATTAACTCGACTATTTCTTATAATTGTAAACGATTGCACAGTAGTTTATTGAACGGAGTATCCTAAGAACACAACGGGTCGTACAGTACAATATTGGGGAACACAAAGACATTCTGAGTCGAACTACATTAGGCCTCTCTCACAACCGTTGCATTTATGTAGATTATGTTTAAAATTATTTTATACATATATATAAGATAATATATATTTTACTTTAGTATCGCCACGCGCACGACCAACCGTCACCTAAAGTTTGTTCCTTGCGAATTATCCATATACATATATATTTTTGTAAATTTGTTTAAAAAACCATTTGCAATTTTTGCCGCGATTGTACTAGAGATATATACAGCGTGATTTTGTTACACAATGACAATTTAATTATAATTGGTAGCTGATAATAAATAAATATGTCTAATTACGAAATTTTAACCTAGTGACAAGCACTTTCATAATTATTTTGAATGATTTTCAATTTTTCTTTTTTTTTTTTCAACATTTAATAACCGCATAGGATAAAATACAAATGAATAATAATATATAGAAAATTTTAAGATTAATACTAAGTGCGAATAGAAGTCGATAGTAAGCGAGTGCTTGTCGTATTAGATAAATAGATCCAATGAATAATGAACATAATTTCATTCGCTAAAACTCTTAGAATAGACATAATTGTTTAGAATTTTATTTGCGAAAATATAACAAGAATACGATAAAGATTATAATATAGTACAGCTTCAGAAGCAAGCGATATTTAGACTTAATCCATAGGGGCATAAGCACATTTTCTATCAACCATGCATAAATCAGAATGGGACATGTTTGGAAAAATTATCGATAATTTTTTTAACGGTACACAATCAAAGAACATTTGTTTCTTTAAGATGTTTTGGAACTCATGAAGTGAAATGATTTTGTAAAACTAAAATAAGAAAAGAAGCGTATAACAGACATCTGTAATGAACATTGACTTCTCTGAATCACACGCATACATGCTGGATATAAATGTGTCTAGAGCAAAAAGGAAACAATTGATTCGCCTCAACACTGCATCGCGGAACATCCAAAACCCTTCGATCGCCTCCGGACGTGCAATCGACGCTTCACTAAATCGATTCGGACTCCAAACTGTTCGCCGTCGCGGCGGCGCGAAACCACGGGCCACGCCATCAGTTAAAACTACGTTCGTGTTGAAGCGGGACGGGTATAGTCCATAGTCCTCTCTCGCTCGCCCACCGGCACCCGGTGACGCGCCTCACTAATTAGTAACGCACACCCGCGCTTCGACCGTGTCCGGCGCGAAGGACCAAGTGCGGCTCCGAGCGTGCTCAGTCTATTTCAAGGCGGACGGAGCGTCAGCCTCCCCGCCGGCCCCAGGATCGAAGCTGCGCAGCCCGCGCCCGTGGGCCGCTAGGTGGCGTGCGGCTGCAGCTTCTCGCTGCGCAGGAAGTCGATCTGCGTGTAGAGCCGCGGCGCCGACGCAGCGGGGGCCCGCCTCGGCTCCAGGTCCAGCGCGGCGTAGTGCAGCGCGCCGCCGGGGCTGCCCGCCGCTGCGCTGTTGGGCTCTGTCGGCGCGTTGTATCGAAAACATTTATCAACTTTTATTATAGCGTTTAGAATGTTTATATTACTAAAAAAAGGCGCCTTATACCGATCATACCACGCCGAGGTTACTAATCGTATGTCTTGCCTGCATGTAATTAGTTGCTATACAAAAACAACAAGTAGTCGTTCAGTTTTTGGTGTGTCACGAACCGATTTTCCCACGCTACGTCACCACAGCACAGAACTCTCGGAGCGAGGAAATCGGGGGAATTGAAATTTTTCATAACCCATTCTCACAGTGGACAGTTACGTGATGATGGGGACGGTTTATGCGATGGGTTCGTTGTTGTTGAGAACGGTTACCTCACCTCTTACTTCGGGCGCGTCGATCGGCTTCGACTTGGGCTCGTCCCTCTGGTCGGGCGAGGGCGCGGGCGAGGGCGAGGGCGAGGGCGAGTTAGGGGGCGAGCGAGGGGGCGAGGGCGAGCGAGGGGGCGCCGCGTCGGGGCTGCGGCGGCCGTCCTCCGAGATCTCGCGCACCGTGGAGAGCGCGTGGTGGGGGCCCTGCGCGCCCTGCGCGCCCTGCGGCGCCTCGTGCGCGTCCGCCGGCGAGGGGCAGGGGGGCGCGGCGCCGGTGGCGGGACGGCCGTAGCTCATCTCCACGTAGCCGTCGGGCGTAGCGGCCGGCGGGTGCGGCGTAGCGGGCGGCTCTCCCGGCCTCATCTCCACGTAGCCTGCGTTGCGCGGCGACATGTCCACGTACTCGTCGGTGTTGCGCCGCGACTCGACGAAGCCGACGGTGGGCGGCGTGCGCGGGATTATCACCTGGCGGAGGCGGCGCGGCCTTGTTTATTTGCTTCATTAAAGCCACTAACGCAGTATCGAGCGCGACATATGTTAAGTTAGAAAATGAATATCACATAGTACTTAGTGTTTGACAAAAATACGTAGAGCAATTATTCGTTTTGATTTTCGTTTCGTTAATTTTAGTTTAATGAATTTAATTGAATCGCGATAGAACAGTGCCCCGGTGCTCGTTTTTAATTCAATATACTCGAACAACCCGAGCACCAATGAAGGTGCGGAAATGAGCAAACCTCTAATTTTCGAGATAATAAAAAGATATTTCTAAAACATGTGAAGTCCGCCTCCGACTCAGTTCGGAGGAGGGCTTCGTCCCTCAGTGGAACTTGTGGTGTGGTGTGGTGTGGTGTGGTGTGGTGAGAGAGCGGTCACCTTGGGCGCGGGCGAGTTGGCGGAGAAGTCGAGCTCGAGGAAGTCGCCGGCGGAGGGGCGCGGCGCGTGCGGGTGGTGGCTGTGGGGGTGGAGCGGGTGGAGCGGGTGGTGGGGCGCGGCGGGGGCGGAGCAGGCGGCCGCGGCGGCGGGCGGCGGGCGGCGGCGCGCGCCGGCGCTGTAGGCGCGCAGCCGCGCCGGCTCGCTGCGGGCGCCGCCCGGCCGCGAGCCCACGCTGTACGCGCGCGCCGACCGCTCCTCGCTGATGTGCGCCGTCGCCGGCTCCAGCTGGTACTCGCTGCGGCACAAGCGCGCACGTCACAGGCGCGGAACGGACAAGTCCCGCCTCTAACTACTGGCGGAATATTGTGTCATCGACCTGGTCTTTTTCCAGTGTATGCTTAGATCTTTAAAACTACGCAACGGATCTTGATGCGGTTTTTTTTACTAGATAGAGTGATTCGAGAGGAAGGTTTACATATATAATACATTGCACCCGTGCGAAACCGGGACGGGTCACTGGTATATGTATAATATGTATTTATTTGCAAAAGAAAAATATGTTTATAAGTTTTCTAGTACCCATAGAAGCGTTGCTTAGTTTGACACTAGAGAACGTTGCGTAAAAGTGTCCAAAGGAATCTATTAATGATATTTTATGTTATACGCTAACTAAATCGCGGGAAAACAAATCAAGCGCTCTTCAAACAAATAGTTTTAGCTGTACGGATGGTCGTATTAAAACCTGAATCGCGGGTCGGTGGACGGGGTGCCGCTGCAGATGGAGCCGCTGGAGGCGGAGACGGCCAGCGGCGGCTCGGGCCCCGGCGCCATCGCCAGGTAGCCCTCGTCCACCGACCCGGAGGAGGCGCCGATCGACGAGGTGCGCGAGTGCTGCACCGACGCGCCGCGCCTCGACAGTCTACGCGAACAAATTCAAATCATTTATTCATCGAAATAAGGAATATACATTTCATTTATCGATAGTCATTTTTTTAAATCAACCACCGTTCCGTAATGAGGTTCCTCTAACGGAGAAGAAACAGGCGAACGGAACATTAAAGACGAACGGTGTTCGGAATGGTCAATACTGGCCAACATACACTGCTAGCACACCAGAGCCATCTATGACGTCACCGGGATAACGGGGAGAATGGAGGGTGCTAATTCATTCGAATTCAACGCTTTGTCGCTTACATTCTATCAGCTACCGTTGTGACGTAGTTTTTAAAATATAATATTCGAAATTACAATAGTCGTACGAGTTTTGACCTGCATTCGATGAACCTGAATCATCAATAGCCGAGGTCTGTAACATAGACAATAGGGCTTCGGCGTCGGGGGTTGTGGGTTCGCTTTCCACACGGGACAGCTATTCGTCAGACCCGGAGACAATTTGTGTCAAGTTTCGCAACTGGGTGTTTGTCCATGTGTAATTTATGTTTGTGAAAAGTCCTTACATCACAAGATAATGCCTCTTTTGTCTCTGTGTCGCCCACAGGTTGACCGGTAGAGAATGCCTTAGGCATTAAGTCCGCCTATACACAATGCTAATGTTTTGTGTAAAAGTTTAAATAAATAAATAATGTTATCATAAAGGGCAATGTTTAAAAAACAGCCACATGACTCATGCTGTTACAATCGGCGTGGAATTATCTCGGTCCGACCGAGACATTCGTCGCCGTATTGTGATCTGAAGATATGACCATTGTACGGAAGTACTGTATAAATTATTATTATGTTATTGCGTGTATAAGTTTTATTTTATTGCAAGAGATACAGGTTTACTCAATATCAGGTGAACCGCCAGCTCACTTGACACCGCACTTACAAAATACTACTTGGAAGTAAACTAGTCCTAATGTCTCATGAACCACGACAAATAAAGGCATTGTTTGCGAATTATAAACCTGCGTAAATTAAAACAAACCTACAGCACTCGACGGAATACGTACATAAAATCCTTCGACATGATATCACAGCAGTCTGGCTCCTCGGGGATTCGCGGCGTCCGATACCACTCCGATATTGAGTCGATGTCGTCGCGCGACGAGTCCATCCCTGCAGTTACATTACCCACGTTACTTTAAAAACCCCGCACCACGCTTCTTTCTGAGAACTTTACCTGCTTATATTAATTCCATTTGTAGCACAAACATAGTTCTTTCTTTACATACTACTACTTTTACTACTTTTTCTTTATAAGTGTAAAAAACATGAACGCATTAAGCATTCATCAGTGTCTACATCTTAGAGCTTCGACCACGCTGTGATTCGCTCGATATTTTGTGATTCTTTCTGTACTAATTCTGTATAATTTTTCCTCCTGTACTAAGTAGTTTCCAGCCAGTTGCAGTCAGCAACCAAGTCTTATATTAAACGGTGATGTGTAATTGGTGAATATTAATTATATTGGACTGGCTTTGAAAACACTATTTGCGTGAAACCCGTGAGTTCAAATCGGTTTGCAATTGTAATGCCGACTGATGCAATTTTGAATAATGGTTAACGACTTGTTGGACGAGATCTCCCTATATTGGGTCCTAACATGTGTGGTATATACAGCGTGTCGTTACCATCGCGACAATAAATGAACGCACGTCTAACGCTACTTGACAATAATCTTTAAAAAATATTAACGTTAAACAAAATCCACAATTAAAAAAAAATATTTTTCAAACAAACTAATTAAGTAAAAAAGAAACAAAATTTGTAACATTCTATACAACTCGCGCCACAGCATCGTATTACAAGCCTCTCCTTCTAACAGTATGTTTTGTCTCTTTTAAATTCATTCAACCCATTCATATGCTTTGTGACCTTTACAAATGAACTTTACGTTACGCTTTTATAGGTAAGGGTGTTTTAAAATTCTTAGTTTTGGAAAATTTTATAACTCTGTAAATATTGATGTTTAAAGAATTTAAATGTTTAATACAACTTTAAAAAGTTATCCCCTATATGTGTGTTCATTTATTGACGCGATAGTAACGACACATTGTATAAGGAACAAAGCTACACAAAATCTAATGACTATAGTACTTACCGTCAGATAGGTCGTGGCGTGGGGGCAAACGTTCGCTGTCGAAAGTGGGGCAAGCTCGAGATGGCATCGTCTCACAGCGATTCCTTAACGTACTAACGTCTGTGGACAACCAATTGGCATGTAATCTTATAGTTCGACTTAGGATATCTCGTAATATTCAAGAGGTTCAGAGTTCTCGATAATGAAACTGAATTTATAACGACAACTCCGCTGGGTAATATGTAAGTTATTTTTTTTATTAATTTCACTTTTCTTTCAACAGAGGATTCTATAAATTTAAAAAGGTAATGTTATTCATTTAAAGCACATTAAACGTTAATACTGTAAGGTTCTTTGGTCTAAAATAATGGTCTTTAGAAACGACCAACATCATGATGACGATAAAAACATCAATATTAAATGGATGTCTAATGTTAAATGCAAACTTGGAGAGTATGAAAGCGAAGCCGATTTATTAGTAAACGGTCTAAAAGAATTTAAACCAGCGTCGAAGGCCGAGGATACGGAATGCTAAAAATTAAAGACAATGACGTTTATGAACGACTAGCATTAAATACAGCAGCAGAATAGCATGGTAAAATGAAGAATGGAAACTTTGAAACATATTGGTAAACTGTTACAGGTTTAGATAAAGCATCATCTTACAATAGAAAGAAAACTAATTCGAGAAATCAGCACAAAATTTATTAAAAGCACCATGCAATAAACTAGGAGTCGATTTCTGATTAGACCTTTCATGTTCAGAGGAAATGGGATGTCCAATGATGGATAAGAGAAAGATTCTGAGATAAATAAAATTACACAGAAGCGTTCAACTATACAATATGCGCTGATTTGAAAAAAAAATATTCTACAGTAAGAAATAGTATCCTGCTTTAACGGATATAATACAGAGTTTAATAGTATCGCCCTCGAACTTTAATTTTTATTCTGTAATTTTTACGTTTGTGCGAAAGTATTCGTACAAGCATTGTTAAAACAATTTCTAAACTCATAATTTTCGCGTGTTTGTTCTTGCTCGTAAGTAACGCTCAGTTTTAATGAAAGCAGCACAAAGCCCGCTGAACGTCTTTATATACTACACAATTTGTTATTAAAAAAAGGAGATTTACGATCGCAATTTAAAAAAAAACGCCTGGGCAATTATTCATAACTTATAGAATACTTAGAACGCGATGAACGTTGTCTCGATAGCTCAACTACATAATGTATAGACTTACGATTACATAAAAGGCGCTAAAACTAAAAAGCAAGCATTGATTCTCCCAAAATGTACATAGACGGATGAGGATGTATGGTTTTAGTGCAGAACGCGATACTGAAGCACGGGCTCGTCGGGGAGCGCAGGTCGGCACCGCCGCCCGTACAGCGGCCGGCGTGGGTTAGTGGCTGCGTCTGGTGGGCCGACGCGAGCCTGGCGTACGTACTCTTCGCGCAAGCGGTCTGCGCCTTCCAGCTCCTAGTGCCGGTGCTGGCGCGCCGTCCGTACGGCCTCTTCGGCGCGAGCGGGTCCGTTCCGTTGACGGCCCTGCACGAGGAGTGCATCGCGCCCTCAGTGATCACCCGGTCCACCTCGTCCCCGGTGAGGGGGGCCGAGTGGGTCCTCTCGTGGCCTACCCTCAAGGGCTCTCGGAATAGCGGGCACCCGGTCGGTAGGGATATCGTCCTATGGTGCTTTATTAGCCGGCCCGGCGCGTCGCCCGACCTCTCGATTAGTGGATTATTCGGCGCTTGGTTTACGGCTGCGAAAGACAATGAGATGCGGCATGTGAGAACACAACGGCACGCGCGCGCGGTGCTCAGGTCGGGACGATGGTGCCTTTGTTTATGCGCACATCGTTACGAGGCGGTTTTCGCGGGAAAATCGACTTTGCACGCTTTCACGTAACACATGTTGCGTTTCGTTAGCACAGGAACGTATACCAATATAGATAAAGCACTTCAACGTTATGTCAACTGTTTTTGAATAACAAAAGACACCATAGTCCAAAAAGTTGTTACTGTTATAGTGCGGATGTGGCAAGAGTTAGACGAAATTCAAATAACCGGCTATACGGCAAGTTTTAATTCAAGGCTTTACGCAGAATTTGGCTGGGCTCTTGCCGCACCTTCTTGTTAGAATCGTTGTAAATGTGAATAACACGGGAACGCTGGTCACAGATGGCGAATGTGTTCAAAACCAACACCAATGTGCATGCAGGCCTCTGCCATTGTAAAAATAACAGAAGAGTTTTCTGATTCAGATGTAACAGCGAGAAAACTTGATGAAGGTATAAATTATGTTAAATTTTAGTTTCACGGCGGTTGGGTTTGGATGCACTTATCAACTGCAGAAGAGCATTTTAATTTTTTTCAGAGCAACATCAATATTCTTGTCATAAAAAGTAACATAAAATTAAACACTATTAAAATTATTAGAATTAACAGAATTAATTTAATGGCTCTGGCAACATCACGATTTAGGATACCTAAAAGATATTTGAAACTTGGTCCTTCGAGCCAGATAAAAGAATTAAAATATTTCACTTTCACTTATCTTGTCATAAATATTATAATAACATGTAATAAATATTTAGTCAGAACATTTCAGGAGTATACTGAATTAAATTGATAAATGTAATGTGTTTTTTTAGAAAAAAAAAATGCGTATAATTTTATAATGGGTGTGAAATGGTGTTTGTGATTATCCATCATGTGTAGTGAAAAATTAGTATGGGTGGCAGATTGTTAGATAGAAAAAGACAAAAAAAGCATAAACAGTCCTGACAGGTGTAAGCCAACAACAAACAACACAAAAGATTATTAATCGATTGCACTTCATATAAGTGCAGCATTACGTCTTTAGAATAACCTTGCAATAGTTTCTGTTGTTTGGTTATCTGTATGTAATAACAAGAATTTAAAAAAATAAGTTTTAAAAACCATTTTATACTAGAGGATTAGCTTATTACTTAATACAGGGAAAGATTTGGTGAAAAGAAATGAAAAACCCAAGTAGCATTATACCACTCTTTACGATCACCCATAACTTAAAAAAAAACATTTGTTCGTGTTTAAAACAAAGATACATAAATCAAGAAGTTAGGAAGAAACTAGATGAATGTCCGACGAACGTGTCCGTAATTAGTGCGTATGACGCGACAGTGATTGTATGCACCAAACATCAATTCTTAACACAGACTTAACACAGATATGCATGCAGAGGAGATAATTGTAATTTTCGTTTCGTGGAGACCTACCACACGTATGGAATATGTGCTTTATTTTTAAAATATCATTTGCCGGTATACCAGATTCCTATTTAAAATTTAAATGAACTAGCAAGGCAAAAAAAAAACTTTAATTCACGTGATATTAATTCATGATGACTCATTTGTTATATCTTTAGCGTAATCAAAGCAAAGCCATTGGCAATAGTTCAATGAATAATGACAAAATAGAAACGCAAATAACAGCCCAGCTGAACTAAGCTAGATTTAATGCGAGTAAGGTCGTTTTCTTAGAAATTTAGCTCATGAGCTCACATTGCGTATTGTAAGATAATGTTCCAATGCATAGAAGCAGAAATTTTACACCTGATTTTAGCTTTAGCAAAGCGGAAATAAGATTTGGGGGAAATTAACTAAGCTGTTAGTTAAATACATAATATTAGAATCACTCATCAGCCGTTGCCTAACAACGCACATGGCAGAGGCAGCGTGAAATGATCGATATGTATCGAGGACGTTTGTTCCTGGATGATAACCAACAATCAGCACAGAACGAGAGGTGCAGTTTGACGTCATCTTGTAGCTTTCGATTGAATTTTGTTTTAATGGCCCAAACCCACACAAATAGCAAAAGCAGCACTAAACTCACACCCGAAATATAAAACCCACAGAGTGACTTACACCCACACATAGACAAGAGAGACTTTCATCATGACTTGGAATTTGTAAACACATTCTAGAAGCAAGAGTGACGAAATCGTCTCATATAATGATCAGGTTAGACAGAGAAGATAGTCAACAGGGTGCAAGAATCGGTCGAGAACGAGGTTGTCCGTTTGTTGGTCCTCGGAGGCGGATCATGGAAATCGGAAGACAATCGCGAAGCTACAAGACTTCTGCCAAACTAAGACGTGTCCGTTCCGCGTGATGCGTACCATTCCTCGGAGACAGGGGAGCGACGGCGGCCGCCGAGTCGTCAATGGAGTAGGTGGCGTTTGGGCAGACGCACTGTCTTATACACGAGCCAACGCACAGGCCCTTGTCTGCAATAGATTTGAGCCGATGTACCGACATAGCTCAGGGGCTTAGCAAGCTCAAAAAGTGGCCTCGGGCCGTATAGCTCGAAGAACCAATAACCGATGGGGAAGAGAGGTTCTCGAGTGGCAGCCTCGTAATGGCCATCGTAGTGTAGGACGACCAATCTAGATGGAGTGACGGCCTGTGCAAGTGTACGGGAATTCGATGGATACAGGTGGCTCAGCACCTTGGTTCGTTGCGGTCTACTGGGTAGCGCTCTGTTTAGCAGTGGACTCAAACAGGCTGAATGATGATGATGAGTGTACCACACATACGCGAGCGAATATAGACCTTGCTCATTAGCAAATTAAGTCGAATTTCGATTGACCACGTCTCCGCGACAACTTTACCAATTGCGTAGAATTGTACGAATTCTAGGTGAGACTTCTTTCTGATTGGCCCTCTTTGGAAATGTTATGACAGAACCGTTGGTTTTATTTGTAAGATTGTGTGCGTTATACGTGCAATAAGTGTATTCGTTGAACACTTGCACGGCTCTAGTTATGTACTCGAAGGGCTCCTAGGCCTTGCCTCGCACTGTCAACCTAGGCAATTCAAAGTCAAAGTCAAAATTTCTTTATTCAACATAGGCTTATTTTAAGCTCTTATTGAACGTCAAAAACTACCAATTAATGTGAAGGAATGCCGTTACCTGACTACAGTGCCAACTACGTTACGCTAAAAGACAAAATATTATCTACAATTAACAGTTGTAACGAAAGTGTTAATAACACGCGAGCAACATATACTTTTTCTTTGTTATACGTAAGTGAAAGACTAATGAGAGACTTTACAAATAATGTTCCAGTGTGTTCTTTTTAAAAGTTTTTAAAACGTTTTACTCCATAACATGTTCGTTACAACGGTGAAGAAAGAAAAAACAATGGTTAGTATTTAATAGCAGAGAACCGTTCAGAATATATTTTTTGAGAAACAATCGAGGGTATAAATGAACAAAAACAATCATTTATGCAACGGGCAGCCTGGATCTAATTTTCTTTTCGTTAAATTAATACAGGTTACACTATGGCGAAACTATTAGTACTAGACCAAATACATTATGAACGGTTCCTTTTCAGTTTTAATACAATCTAAGTGGGTATTCTCTAAGCGCATTATACAAGAACACAAAACAACAGTACTCGGCGATAAATATCGACGGTTAGAAAGAGAGAAACGGCTAATTCCGGCTTCGTATAGCGTTATCTCTGTCGCACGAAACACTACCAGTCCGGTAGATAGTGTGAGAGAGATGACGCTCTACGAAACCGATATCCGTCGATTGTCTCTTTTCAATTGTCGATTTAACACGGAGTAATATATTAGAGGACTTTGTGAAGAGACTACTAAGCTTCCTTTTGCTTATGTCACAGCGATGTGTGATTATTTCTATTCTACTCATGGTGGTATTTCAGATGGTGCAATGCGAGTTGCCATTAGATACAAATGTACGGTTCTAAACACAAAACTAGATGGCGTTTGACGTGATGGGATAAACTGACTTGACGACAATGTTGTAAATGTTGAATGTTTACTTGAAAGGGGGTAAACTGTGTGTTTAAAAAGGTTATTTTCTATCTTGTCGTTCTAATTTGGAAAAAGGGTAAATCGTGATAAATTTTTTCAATTAATTTAATCTGAAGAAACGCAATAAGTATATGAAATGTTGTACTTGCGAACATTGCCTAGATTAAACCTTATTAAAACGCCCTAAACCCTAAGTCACGTTCTTAAAAAGCCAATATTTAATAAATAAAAACTACATAGTACGGTATTTCACGTACTATGCTATATTCAATAATAAAACTATCAAAGTGAAACAACACACTCCTGCGATATTTTCAATACGTAATAATTCCAAAGCAAACACAGATAATACCGAACATATGAAAAGTACTTCATTTTATATGAGAAAACATTTCTAAAACAAATAGTCGGTGATTACACGCGATTTATCTCAATACCAAATCAACCGTATGGCGCTGGTGATAGGGTTGGAAATGGCTACCCACCGTTGTACAGGCCCGCCCTGCCGCGGCCGTCGGAGTAGGTCTGCCGCCGGGCGGGTAGCGGGTTCGTTCCGTCGAGCAGCGAACCCTTGCTGAGGACAATGTGGTCCTTCTCGTTCTCCGTCTCTTTCGCACAGTTTCTCATCGCGCTGCAATCGGAATAAACATGTGATACGTGCTAGTGGCGGTGTTCCTAGGTTATTTACTGCTTCTCTGATACCCTCGTTACGTGTTCCCATTACTTATTCTTTTAACTTCTTATTTAAAAAAAAAGCATTTCCCTCACTGTAGGATAACATTATACTGTATTTTAAGGACGTTTAACGTACATAAATTTCACATAGACAAACACCCAGATCCGAAACAACTATCCGTGTGTCGCTCAAATAATTGTCCCGTGTGGAAATCGAACCCGCGACCCCCGACGCCGAAGCCAATACCTTGGCAACTGCGCCACGGATTCATCAAGTTGGCAAGTGAGCAGGCGGTTCGCCTGATGATTAATTAAGTGCTGACTTATCACGCGCTATCGTGAGGAAATGTGCATATTTTCAAAATGATAACAAAAAAAGACATTTCGCAATGGGGTCGGGTGGTGGACTATGCCCTAATACCCCAGGTACACAGGAGGCCTTTGCCCAGCAGTGGACCATATACAGGCTGATTCATTACTTTACTATTACATAGTACAGCACAAGAACTCAAGGTTTTTCAGCTTTATGCTGCGATGTGAATGGCTTCGTTGCTTGAGCAGAACAAAGATTTGTTGAAGAAGTTTTTCCTTCTGCGAGGTGTACAAGTTTGGCAGCACGCCAAACTTGTACACCTCGCTAGGGTGGCAGTACTCAGGGTACGTGTCCACCGTAGTGAACTGCTTTGGCGGCCTCGACACTCACTGGTATATCGTGGAGTGCATGCTCTGTGCGATATTCGAGTCGTCGGAGTGCATCCACAACTCGCCGGCACCTGTCGCCGTCTGCCGCCCCACCTCCATGTAGAAGAAGCATTCGGAGTCGCCGCACCTGAGCGAAGATAAATAGTTTCGGCAACTAAGTGATTGCGGATTTCAATTATGGGCCTTTCTCACTCCCATTTTTATGATATATCTGTGAATGTTACGATCTTCTATTTCTTATACAGCGTAGTACTTGCCAATAATCTTTTAAATCCACTCTACCAATTCATAGGTTTTGTGACCTTTACAAATGAACTTTACGTTACAGTTTTATACGTACGGATGTTCTAAAATTATTTGTTTTGGTAAATGTAATAACTCTAAAAATAGGTACGTATTTATTTATGTTTAAAGAAATAAAATATTTAATACAATTGTTGAGTGTCTGTTTGTAATATTAAAATAATAAATGTATATGGACATCCATATACATTTATTATTTTATTATTAATTTTGTATATGTACCGTACATACACCAAATTAACATTATTTACAATTTGTGCCTGTGTGTCTGTGTGTTTGTTCCGATTTGACGGGACTTTCACTGGCAGATAGCTGATATAATATGGGGTAACTTAGGCAACTTTTATTTCAGATTTTTTTTTAAATTCCATATACACGATATGTGTATTGATTTATGGTCGCGTTAGTAGCGCCACGTTGTATATGTTAGCTGTCATCCAACCTAACCTACCTATAGCTTTACAAGTTCATTCAGTAAATATTTTCATAGTTTTTTTTAACTAAATATTAATATGGAGTGCAAAAACTAACATTTTCGCTATATTTTGCTTTATTATTTCCGAATACAAGTTGTTAATTTGAATTGATGTTACACCACCATATAGCCCTGATCTCGCCCCCATCGGAATACCACTTATTACGATCCCTGGACAACTCCCTTCGTGATAAAACTATCAATAACATTGTCATACATTTTTCTAAGAAGTTTTTAAAAGACAGTTTTTACTTATGAAAACTTCAACACGGAAACAAAATCTTTATAATGATGTTTTAATCATCAAATTCGATGAAGAATTATGGAAGCTATTTCGTTCTGACAAAAAACACCCTTGAGAAACGATATTATAAAAGAAAACAATAGTGGCTATACACAGTCCGTACCAGAGATGTTATTAACTCGATAAGGGCAGTACAAGGCTCATATATTTGCCGCGCCTTGAGACACCACTACGCGTGAAATCGCTGATAAGGACGAATGCTATTAGTTTTCGCGGAGCTTTCAACGCCAAAATATGACAAGCATATGGAAAATTCTAATAACTGAAACCTATTCGATATCCCGAATCGGTCAGCGTCTGAGCTACCGAACATTTGAAGAAGTGGTTCTTCAAATGTTTAGTAGCTAAGCTAAATGTACCTATATAACGCTTATACCGCTCGCCTTTATTCGAGAAACCCGAATCCTAGCAGTGAGACACGTATAGGCTGTTACTTTACTTTTTTTAACCCAATTCCACGCGGGCAGTGTCGCGGGCAGCAGCTAGTAACGCAGTATAAGAATATTTTATGGCCGCAGACGAGGAGTATTAGGTCGCATATACATTGAATGCTTGGTCAGGAAACGAGTGTAATAGCCGACTATAAAACGCCTGCGGCTCCCATAATGGCAATGGACAACAGAGGTGTGCCTAACGGTGGGCGAAAATTCACCGAACCGAAAGTTCCGAGAAAACTGGCGGCCGAAACAAAAATCGCGGGGGGAGGGGGGTCGTTGAACCGCACTACGTCCAGTTAAACTGTTTTCTTAGGCAGAGTGGAGAGTTATATCTCCGCGTAAAAGGGGTCCATTAATTGAGGCGTTTTTAATTTAGTCACCGTTGCGTACACGCGAAATGTAACTTTGGTGCCTAATAAGGCTCCCGACGGTCGTCCGTTAAACAACGAAGAAACAAGTGCAACCGATAACGTCCGGTGTAAAGCGAAATGCCACCCACTTTCTTAATCTGTTCAAGAGAAATTAATTGTATCAACACGCACGTTATAAAAGCACTAAAGAGAAAATAATATGAATCCGGCCATATGCTAAGCCTTGAGAAAGTCAGAGTGAGGGCTAGTGTTAAGAATTTAAGATATTGTTACGTTTAGGGCAATCACAAGTTCGATTACATCGATTTAATCAACCGCCTACCGAAAATCAAAGACTGAGGGTTGTATTAAGATTTTTTACATTATCAATTACAAGTTGATTAGATCGTTTTAATCAACTGCCTACACAAAAATTAAGACTAGCAGTGCGATGAATCAGAAAGAATTCATAATGTGTACGCACATTCATTCAATTCCAACGAATTAGAGCTTACGTGACTGTTAACCAAAAACAAACCCAACTTTATTTTATGTGAGAAGGTAGCAAGGGAGCTAGCGGTCCACCTAATTTTAAGCTATAACCGCCGCCCATTGGCATTTGCAACAACCGTAGGGTTGCAAATGCGTTAGCACCTTTCAATAAAGTGGTAACCGGCTGGCTACCTCACTCACCAAACGAAACGGGAAAGTCTCCTCTTCCTCTTCACGCCAATCTTCTGTGAGTACGTGGTACTAACCCGAACGGTTGCCCATCGGTGCAACAGTATAGGATGTTGCGTGGCCCTACCACAGTATGAAACTGGAACGGCTTTCTTCATTTCCTAATTCTTTATTTAAGACTGCCTCCCCGTCTAGGGCACGCTCACTGACCTCCTGATGTTTTTCAACGAGTACTCCACCCGCTCTGGTATGCCGAGGTCGCTGATTATGTTGTTGTGGCTCTTGATCTTCACGAGGGTTAGGGTCTTGTCCGTGAGGCAGAGGTTGTACAGACCCTGGATGCTTTTCGAGGCACCGAGGCCCTTCTTCTGCACGTTCACCTGCCACACGTGCTCTGAAACGAAACGGAAATAGACAATTATTGTACATACTTAACCATAGAGTGTGATGGCTATTGCTTGTCTACTGTCCCCCCCATCCAAAACGTTGCTTACATGCTGTTGATGACGGCCACCGATGGCGTTTCAGTACATAAAACTCCACAGGCCCCTGACTGTTCTTTAGAAGTACGACAATAGTAATACTCTGTTGCACGAAGGGGTAGGCTCGCCCGGGCGGTACCATGACCCCACAGAAGACCGACGTGAAATGGAATTGATATATTTCTGCGTTTCGTCTCGTGATTGGGATAACCGGTGCCCGCTTTATTAGAAGGTGGCAACGTACCTGAAACAATACTTCGGTTGCAAATATCCATGGACAGCGGTCATCACTTAACATCATGTGAACCACCAGCTCGCTTGCAATCTTCTTACATAACAAAGTAGCACGCCCTCACAGATTGTCAGCGTGAAGTTTTTTATAATTTTTTGTTTCATCTGGGGAGTGAAGTAATCAGGCTTTTAATAGGCAACTCCTCATGTGTTAATAATTTAGATGGCGACAGTAATCGCTTAACATAAGGTGAACCGTTTGCGTGATTGCTAGTATTTCACGCATAGAAAAGGTCAAAAGGTACATGACAGACTTGAATATTGTTATAGTACAGATTTAACTTAGAATAGGAACCTAAGAATTTTGAATATAGTTGTAACAATATGGAGAACAAAGTCAATTGAATTGATTGGCATTTATTAGTTAATTGGTACTAAAACAAAGCGTCGCGATGACCTGTGTTGGAGTAGATTGATTTATTTGTTTGTTTTAGTTGGGTTCAATTCTCTCTCTTTTTTTACCAATTACCAATTTGGAGATTAAAAACTGTGTACAATAAGCAATGTTTTTATCACTACATAGGATAAAAAAAAGTCTCGCTGTTTGCCTGTCCCTATGTATGCTTAGATCTTTAAAACTACATAACGCATCTTGATACGGTTTTTTTTTATTAGATAAAATGTATATTTTGTAAATATAATACATTGCGAAGGCGAGGCGCTAGTTATATATATTTGATAATATTTCGCTTGGCTAGCTCTATTAATTTAGTAGGCGGCGAAAAGCTGAGCGATTGACAAGGTCGGACAACCCAAGATTAAGGATAATTAGTTTTATATACACAGTATTTTATTTTGCCTCAGTTTAATTATTTATTTATGTTTTTTATCAGCAAATAAATATGAGACATATTTGAACCCATTTCCGCGTCTTTCTTCGTTTTCCATCGCTACTCTTCTGTGAAACGATTGTAAATTAGTTTATTATTGACATATTGTTTTTCTAGCATTATAATAATTTTTTTAAATAACTGTTTGAAATTACAAACACTCCATTTTAATGAAGTTATCCATGATTAATTGTTTTGATTCGTAATATTCTACTTAATCAGTATTAACTTAATATGCATAAGGAATGTATTAATTCATAGAACTATAGTTTTTCTACAAAACAACAACGTTGAATACGATCGCTTACGTACAATAGGGAAAATACAGATATTACTGCCTCTATGAGTATTACAACTATGGAAAAAAAACATTTCTTATTACCGTGGTGATTACAATTTATGTAACAGTTGCTGCAGGAATGGAACAGTTCAACCGGGGAAGTATCGCTGCCTCAGAGAAGACTCACGTTGAAGTAAAAGTATTTACGCAATGCGCTATATAGGTTCCATCGATTCAAAATCCAGTGGCGCCGTTGCTAGGCTATTGGCTTCGGCGTCTAGTGTCGTGGGTTCGATTCCCACAAGGAATAAGTATTTGTGTGACCCACAGATAATTGTTCCCGATCTGGGTATTTGATTCCCAAGGAGGGTTGACGTCACGAAGCGGGTGGCCTGTGTTCAAAAGATGACGTCTTGCGGCTGATGATTATGATGATGATGATGACGGGCAGAAATCACTACCTCACAACTGCCATAGGGCCACGCAACGGTCTTCGCTGTTGCACGAATGGACAGGTCCGTCTGGGGGAGTACCGCGACCTCACTTCACAGTGTTACACTTCTGCGATTCGTCTGGTGAGCGAGGTAACCCCCACTTTATTTATTAAAAGGTTTTCGTTGCCGCATCTGCTACCCTACGTGTGTTGCAAATGTCCATGGGCGGCGGTTGTCACTTGACATCAGGTGACCGCCAGTCCGTTTGCCACCTTCTCACGTAAAAAAATAAGCTTATCCCTTGTCCCGGAGACTTAGCAGCCTACTCTTACGAGCAATCTCTATTTGGTGTTATAATAGCATCTGCCACGCGGCCTCATCGGCGATTGGCAGGCCTAGTACTTAGTTCTATATTAACGTGTGACGTGCGTATAATCCATTATACACGCAGTAACCGTAGAAGCGATGAAGTGTGTGTTTTATGCGCGCAAGCCTATCGAAATGTGTCCAATCTATCAATGCTTTATATTACAATCTAACATTTTAACTAAACCTGTACGAGCGTTGCGAAACTGCGTTATACCCGTGAACACGTCGAATAGATAAAAACAATCAAATCGATATTTTCTAAATAGGATTTTTAACATAAAAACGATGACAGAGCAAACCACATCGTTATTTTTATACAACACAGATATAAATTGTTAAACAACAAAAGATTAGTAAAACGCATGTTTCGAGGGATAGGAATTAGGGTTGACACTTGACAGGTGCTTTAATAAACATCCCTTCTGACTATTTACGAGTGGACGAAATTGCCACATCTTCGTATACGTTACGTTGTCCCCCTGTCATCGTCATTGGGTCATCGCATTAGGCCGTGCGAAAAGATAACATTAGCGTTGTTCCCAGCGATGATTCACAGCGGGGCGCCTCCTCTCGGTGCGGGGAAAACACTACGCCGCGGCATTGACGACTGAGCGATTAAACAATATCGGCAACTAGACTTCGCCCGCGACGCACGATTTCCAACAAAGTCGAGTTGTTAATATTTCATGCGAAAAAGTTAACGTCCGCGATCATAATATAATAATAAACCGCCTGCGTTACAAATTCAACCCGTGCATCCGTTAGAAAAAACACAGACATACGTATGCGTTAATAAATTGAGATGATACTATTTATATATACCTATTAATATTAAGTTTCACATTTATAATATTAAGTATGGATTGCCGCTTGTAGTTTCCGAAATCACAAAATTTATGATTCTAAAATCTATTGACATGAGTTTAGATACAGCATATTAGAAACAATTATGCGCCAAGCATTGCTTAAAATGCGAAAAAATAATTAGATAAAAAGACGTTGAGATTTTCGTCGATGTGGCAATCAGCCGTTTAGGTTAGTGGCTAAAGGATCTGGGAGCGAATCCAGAAGACCATGGGTTTGATGCCCGCGGCGGCGAAAGACTTTTCATGTTTTGTTCTACGAATTTTAGTGTTTCATCTTAAGGACTGAGCAGTATAAATAATTTAAATCTAAATAATTTATAAAAATATTTATAATATTTGTATAAAGAGGTATTAAAACCTTATGGATGGATTACTTTGTGAAATGTACCACCGTGAATAGAAATCAAGTGGAAAAATAGCCACCCAGTCTGCATTTCATCTCAATAATTTGAAGATCAAGATTCGTCACAGCACATGGTTTTATATAAAATAAAACTGAAAATACCTGTTCGTACATTGTTTTTGGTTGAATGATACGTCTTAAAATGAGTGTTTTCAGTTTATCTAATTATACGTTGGTCGGTTAGCCAAAGTACATGATATCGTTGATGCTACGTATTTACGCAGTTAACTGCAGTTACGGCCTCTGTTATAGACCCCGATAAAGGCGAATTTAAAAGATAACACAACGAATAGACACCGTCAATCCTTCTAGATAAGGAACACATCACTAAACATGACTTGACATTTTTGTGCATTACAAATTAACATGCTGTTTAACAATTTTTTGGGGCCGTGGAGCAGCGTTTTCTGTTATCTGAATGGAGAAGTGCCACCACCTCTGAGAAGCCGGCGTGAAGTAGACTTGTCTCATAGTTATGTGTATAGACGTCCGCTCAGTGAGGTGGGCTGGGGCATTGTTTCAAGGTTGCATTGTTACAAACGCATCTACAGATGCACCAGCTGCTCAAACAATTTCCTTATTGACGAAACATCTCGCTCTGTATTCGTTTTATAATTGATTTTCAGGAGTTCATTGCGCATCTCCGGAGCCCAAGATCCAACACCAATGAAATAATATGTGTCACCACATGGGAAGCATCAGTTTTCAAATAAAAATAGTATAATATTATATAATCCTTATATAGCTAGCACCTACACTTCTCTTTCACTAACTTTCCGGTTGGCTGGTAGAAAATGCCTTATGGCATTAAGCCCGCCGTTTGTACCAGTTAGTACAAAAAAGTGTGTAAATAAATAAATAAATAAATAAATAAAAATAGAATCATCAGAAAAATCAGTCAAAATCAGTCGAAAGTTCTGAGGTAGCAAACATAAAAAAAACACAGTCCAAGCATTGCTTCAAATGCTAAATAACAATGTAGAAAGAAGGCGTTAAGATTTTCGCCGCCGTGGCTATCAGCCGTTTAGCTCAGTGGCTAGAGCGTCGGGCCGCGAATGCCGAAGACGTGGGTTCGATTCCCACAGCGGCGACAATCTTTTCGTACTTTTTTCTACATGTTTTAATTTTAAAACACAGTCGAACTGAGAGCCTCCTTCGTTTTTGAGGTCGGTTGAAAATAGCCTGCTCGCTTGCCAACTTTTCACATGAAACAATGATGCGGCTGTTGAATGTAAGTGAGACAACCTATAAGAGGATGGGCCTACGATTACCTTACTCACAGAGCGATAGGTAAGTATTATATTCGCACTACCCACCGATCCTCCGTAACGACAAGATACTGCACAGCACCAGAACCTACTTCGTTAAACTATCAGAGAAAAAATCCATAACGCAATTCGTGAAAACTAGTGGACTGACCGACGTTATATTTTCATTAT